CTAAATAAAACAAAAATATTGGTGGTACTTTTTGACTGTGTAACTTTACAAACGGCACCCTATACCTGTTATCCTCACCAAACAGCTGAGCTGATACAAAATCTCTGATTGATAGAAAGGAGCTAACAGAGCTAGCTGCTAACTGTTGACAGCTAATTTGACAGGTAGGRACGAGCTAAATAGGAAAACATGCTAATGCTAACTAGCCTTTCACCTGCGAACAAAGACTTACGGCGGATTCTTCGGTTTTCCCAGAGATGAAGCAGTTTTTAATCCCAGTGAATCGTGGCAGTCATTGTTCTCCAGTAAACTGATAATAAAAGTGGCTTTTTAGGCTCCTGTCATGCTGACAGCAGGATCGGCAGCCAGGAAGCAGCTGCGCATGCGCACTGACGACGGGGTAACMTTTACGCAGCAGCGTCATCAACAGGGGCGGAGCTAATAGGGAACACAAATCACTTTCTTTATTTGATGGATTAACAAAAACACACTTCATATTATTTGTTTGTTTTTACTTGTGGGGTGTATTTTTTTTTGTTATTTTTTATATTTATTTATTCTATGCTACCAGTATTTTCTAAAAGTACAGACAGATGCTGTTTTACAGGAAAAASTACTTGTTTTGATAACTCTGGGTTAAAGTCGTGACATAGGTCAGGTTGATCTGACCAAAAATTGCTGCCTCTCTTTGTGTGTGAAAACACAAAATGATTATTTAAAACAAGAATGCCTAAATTTTCATAAACCATTTCAAATCCTAAAATTAAATAAGCTGCCCTGACCTTCTATGTGACCCATTGTATCGAAGTGACGATTAAGTCAAATTTAGTCAAAATGACTTCATCACATTTTCAGATTTCTGGCTTTMAAAGCTAYATTTTGAYACCTGGATCATTCTGATATAAACGGAATCAGAGATATGCCTTCATTTGTCTTGTTGGTTATGATGAAATATTAATATTTGGTCTGAATCCTTATTTTATGTTATTTTTATGATGAACTTTTCATTTCATTATGAAGAGAAAAGCTCACATAATATTTGAATATTGACATTTCCCAGCTGGAAGGAAACAAACACGTTTGTAGCTCGCAGGGAAAATCTCAAAATTTAAAGGTGTTTTTCCTCAAAATCTGTTTTTATTTTGTTTTGTTATTGTTGCCACTGCTCAAAAAAGTGCTTCAAAATTTATAATTATATTTTTTCACACAGTTCATTCAAATGAAACATTGATAAGGCATTTATTTGTTATATTTTGACAAAATTCAATTTTTGTAAGCGTTTTAATCAAAACAGTATATTTGCATATTTGTCCATACACCAATTTTAGATGTGAAGGGTCACATATTCCATCATTTTTTACACATATAAATAAGATCAAACAGAAGGCAGCTCAAACCACAGATCAGAAACATGTACCATAGGTTCACTTTGGCCCAGGCCTCCCTTACAAAAGACATCTCTAATCCACAAGTGATTTGCCTGGTTAAATAAAGGTTAATAAAAGGATCACTTCATGTTTTCATAAGAACAAAATTGAAAGTGTCCCAAATACAGAAGTGGGCTTTCAGTGGAAAGAGTGGGTGGTGCACCTGTTAAAGGAAGTCAGTGTGGTCTGATCAAAGCGTCAAAAACACTTCACAGAGCCAACAACATGAGGACCTACTGCACTACGACCATTCTTATCAGTAAGTAACAAATCAGACCTGTTTGAGCAGCTTTTAGACGAGGAAATGTTCATTTAGAGTAAATGAACATACATCAGATGGATCCATGMGCAGCAGGTAGATGGCTTTGGTGCTTTTTTCTCTGATTACAGGAAATTTASTGAAAAAGCTAATGAATGTTTAACAGACGTCACTAATTTTGTTTTGAAAATGTTATTCTCCACTGTGTGAGTTTCAGATGTTTGCTGTTTTTCTGCCCCTCCTGTGTGTGAATCAGTAAAATTCTGTTTATTTTCYGTTTGATCCACTCCAGGTTCTGTCATGACCACGTTCCTGGTTCTGTTCGTGTCAGCTGCTGAGGTCCGACTCGTCCACTTGGGTTCCACGGTCACGCTGAGCTGCAACGTCTCCTACCTTTACGACACGACGTGGCTGAAGCAGAACCCAGACCTCCAGCCCACCGTGGTCCTGTGTGCCAGCCTGAGAGAGGGCCACCCAGACGCAGGTGAACATAGATTTATTTAAGATTRCTGCATGGGTTGCATCAGAGCTGGATTATTTCACCACAGGTGACTGCAGGTGTGCTTTCAGGTTGTCAGCTCAGCCCTCGGCACTCGGTGGTCCTGGTGAACCGGTCTCTGGCTCTGAGGATCACCGGGGTTGAAAACGGAGACCTGGGTCTTTACTTCTGTATCGCGCATGTGAACATGCAGGTGATGGTTGGAAAGGTATTCAGGCTCCGCGGTACGTGCATCAACACATGTCTGCACACCTGCACCTAACACACCTGAACTCACCTGAGGAGACAACTTAAATGTGTTTTGTGTCTCATTGGTCTCCATGCKGTGACCTAGGGCGTAACTTTAGGTCTGTCATTGGGGGGTTATGCTCAAAAACCCTGCATGTCATGTTTAGCAATTAYGCTTAAAATGTTATGATATTGTAATTTTTTTAACCAGGTCAAAGTTACCTAAAGACAACAAGAGATGTATCCGTCTACTTAACCAGTTAAATACCTCTGCCAAGGGCGAGGTAATGTTTTCAGTCGCGTATGTCTGTCTGTCGTTCTGTCTGTGGACAACATTACTCAAAAACTTGTGCTGATTGTCACAGTTTTTTAGCCAGCTGAGCAGGCAGACCACYGGAAACTTCCTGGTTCCCCCAATCATCTGTTCGGGTCTGCCCGCAGCTCTTTCAGCTGTGTCTGGGTTACAYACGTCCTGGTTACTGTCGAGTGGACTAAATCATTTTGCGCCTCCAAGGTGGGGAACCCCAGAATGTTCAATATGTTGGGTGGACAGTAAAATAAAGTTTAATCTCTCAGTTTATGTTATCAATATATTTGAAATAAATTACTACACCTATTATTTGAAGGGCTCATTTCATTTGGCAAATAAATAAATAAAATAAAAAAATCAGGACTTCCATGGGCCCTTCTCCCTTCTTGGGCCCTGGGTTCTGAGGTCCACATTTCCCCCCACTTCCACGCCCATGGTTGTGGATCAGTCTCAGCTACTACCACATCGGATCTTAGGTCAGTGATTTTGTCATTTATTTATTTATTTATCTATTTATTTATTTTGTTTTGCAGCAAGTGATGATAACAAAGGCTAACAGCAACAAAACTACACGGCCGACAAAAAACAGCATGAAAAATAAAGTAGAACAATGATCAGTACTGATGAGAGATAACAGGCAGGTGTGCAACAAAAAAATAGATTATTTAAGGCAGAGGTCCTCAAATTGGGGTTCCAGGACTCCCCAGGGTCCGTGAGCAGTGACTTGGGGGTCCTCAAACATTTAGTAAATTATTAATATGATTTTTATTTTTTTAAAAAGCATATGGGGAATAATGCACTTGTAAAACAAACATAATAAATCAAACAAAAACTAATATTAAGATGTAATTTAGGGTTTGTTATTTATGCATTAACCGCATGGGGTTTATGAGGGGGTCCCTGGAATTCTTTTTAACCTTGTAAGGGGTCCCCAGACCCAAAATGATTGAGAACCCCTGACTTTAGGTAAAACCAGTGAAGAGTGAGACATCCATCCATTTTTTAACCTTTTCAGGTGCAGACCAGGTACTTGTCACCAGAGATCTTTGTGGGAAAGGCGGGTGCTCCTCTGACAGTCCACCTCAGGGTCAGTAACACAAGACTAAAAACTTTACTTTATGAGCTAAACAAACTCACMCATCTTTGTGATTCCATGAGGATACATGGATCATTTATTAAAATGTACAGGTTATGTTTGTTTGTGTTTTCCAGACTCGTCCTGGTTTGTGTTTCCTCACTGGTACGTTGCAGCTGTTGGTTCGGGCCTGTTCGTCATGGTTCTGACTGTTTGCTTCACCCACTGGAAAACAAGAAACAGGAAGTAGAAAAAAAAACACCTCGGCCTGCAATGAGGCACATTTTTCACACTTTGACCACTAAAGTTTTTAAATTTATCACCCTGCGTGTGAGACACAGCAGGCTCATATTGTGTTTACATAATGTGTTTTATTTATTGCTTTAGTTTAGTTTGTTACATTTTTAATACAAAGAAATATTTATTGTTTTGTATTTAGTTAAAAAGCTGTGTGTTTGGCTGCATGAAACATGCAGTACTTAAAATACTTGGATTAATGTTTRTGTTGTAAATTATAATCCTGATGTAATGTAAGGTAAATGAAGAGTAACTGATCAAATTTATAACTGCAGTGGCATCAGTGGTTCCTAAAGTTGGGGTTGGGACCCACAGTGGGGTCCTGAAACATCAAGGTGGGGCCCTGAACATATTTTCTGAATTAATTATACTAAAAAATGACAACGTTTTTTTGCCTTTGTTGTTACAAAATAATAAGATTAGTGTACTTAGAATGGACAAAAATAAAGTCATAAATAAGGTTATACAGTATGTGTTTATTTGGCGTAAAAACTAATTTTATCAGCCGACAACAGCTGGGGGCTCAGGTCTCTGCTTCTTAAATTTTTGTGGGTCATAAGCTGAAAAGTTTGGGAACCACTGATGTAGCTGAAGATTTAAGAAAAGTGTGTTATAATATCTTCAGATTCTGCAGTAATAAAACTAAATTTGTCATTTTCTTTTTGTCAGAAATGTTACGCTCTAAATGTGTTGTGTACAGGGTTACATCACTGCATTTTTCTTTTTAAGTGTTAATAATGTGACTTAATGG